TCTGGGGTACTGCACAGGCTGGGGGTCCCTGCCCTGGAGGGACAAGGCTCATTATGAGATGCAGGGGAAGAGCATGCTGGCATTGTGCAAGGCTTATTATGGGATGTTTAAGGAGGAACCAAAGACTGAGAAAGGGAGGATTAGCGTGCTTTGTGGAGGAACAGATACAGGAAAAGAGAGGGAAAAGGGCATTGAAGGGGCCAGCTGCACATAAAAAGGGGTCTGGTCAATATGTTTGTCCAGCCATACAGCAGTGTGCCCTACCTTCTTGAACAACTCCATTTCTAGCTCTCTTACTGGTGTGGGACTCTCTCTTCTATGTGCATGTGTGTGCAAGGGGGTCTGAGTGCAGCAACTGGAGTGGGGCTGTGCTCTTTGGACCTCACATGTGCAGGTGCCAGCAACTGGGGAGGCTGAGATCCGGCCTGAGCCCAGTTGCTGAATGGGTCCATCTTGTATATATATACATCTATATATTCCCACTAATGGACCTCAACTCCTGATGAGCAAGACAGGGGGACAAGATTAGGTCATTTGTGCTATCTGTGTTTGTGTATTTCTATCTGCTTTACTTGATGTTACTTTTAGGCTGTGTACATACATATGTGCGACAAGGAGCTGCAGCAGACTCCCTTCCATGGGGCTACTGGTTTTGGCAACTCTAACATAGACAGACCTTGTGGATATTTTCAGGCAAAGTCTGAAATTAAACATCCATTATTCTTAAATAAATTGTCAAATGTCAGACTGAAATAAAACATGAGCTGCAACAGCCATTAGTATAGGAACCATGGGGAAAGTAAATAACAATATCAGATTCCCTTAATAAAGCCACAGTATCTCCATTTCCAACTCTGTCTTGAGCTCTTCTAGCAGTGAAAGAGATAGACATGGTATAGGAAATGATGGAAGGAAAGCCACAGAGCAGGGAAGTGGACACCCTGGGAGGTCTGCAGGCTGTCAGCTCTGCTGGGGCAGAGACAATTAGATCGATGTAAGGCATATGTGTAAGTGTCCTGCCCAGGCAGAGCAGCCTTAAGAAGATCTGGCACCCTCCCAAGCCACTGACACCCGCTGACCCAGAACAGAGGCAATCAGGGAGGCACACAGCATGGACAGCAAGCAAGAAACACGCACAGAGAAACAGAGCCGAGCCCAGGGCGGGTGGGATGATGGTGCTCTCCTCATCTCTCCCTGCACCAAACACGTCCAAGAAGAGGCAGTTATAAAAATATCATTCACAAATTTAGAAGACAAGAAGGAGGAGGAGGAACAGAGGGAGTATTGACAGCGTCAGTACAAGAGACAGACGTGCGCACCACTGCCAGCCCCACTCAGAAACCAGGCCAGACAGCCTCTATTTGCTGGGTTGGTTCCCTGGTTGGCTTGTTTGTTTGTCTTAATAATAATACCCTGTGGGTTTCTTCTTGTCCACCTTTCGCATTTTAAGCCTTGAAGTTTTCCTCTCGATATTTTCTTCCACAAACTCGAAGCATTACTTAGAAAATTGCCATCTTCTAATATAAAATGAAACCCGAGATTCTTCTGCACCCACAGGAAATGATGCTTAAAGAAAATAATCTGCATCAAGAGCCACGCAAGAAAATTGCTGCACCATCATATTTCCAATTGACTACAGGAACGTCCACGTTCCTACAGGGCAGGTGAGGAAGCTTCCCCTCCCCATCTCCTGTTTTGGCCAAAAAATCTCCAATTGGTTCTCCTTAGGCACACACAGGCAAGGTATAAGTACAGCACAGTCCAGTGCTGCCTGCACCAGCTCCGCTGCAGGTCATGTACTTGGCAGGGCAGCAGGGTATTGCTCTTCATGTAGATTTGCTGTTGCTATAACCAGGAATGGGCTGCAAAGTGCCTGAGGCAAAATAGCAGGATCCCTCTATTTTAAGGAATGTGTGTTTACGCTGAGTATATAAATGAGATCTGACATCCAAAGCGGCAGACAAAATTAAAAGAAAATGAAAAGAATGCTATTTATGACTGGAAAATAAAAGAAATCACTTTAAGATTAGGAACAAGCAAAAGAGAGCCGGAGAACTATATTATCCTGTTGCCTTGTCTCTTCCTGTGCTTTGAGACAGCAACAAAACCAGCCACAACATCAATGTTTAAAATGCAGCACATGCCCCAAGTGTTTTTACAGTGGCTGTTCAGAAGCAGGGTTGAGCTCTGCTGCGGTGTAGCCAGATTTATCACTTCAGCCAGTTACCCACAGAAGGAGATGTATGTACCCAAGAGATCAAGTAGTACAGCCTATCATCAGCCACTCCCGAAAACCTCGGCCTGACCACGCAGATTGAAAGCCCAGCTGCTAAACTGTGACCTGCCTGCTTATTAACCTTTTCACACATAATAATTAATTTACGTTCTTTATCATTATCATATCATTACCTGCCTTTCCTGAGCTATCTTCACCCTCTATTGCTGTGGGAACTGCCCCACACGTAGGTGGATGCAGGGAGCGGGAACCCACCATTGTTACAGGACCACCATGTCTCAGCCTGAAGTTGCAGACTGTGCGTTAAACACTAGTACATGGTGTCTTTTTCAGGCAAGAACAGCTTTTTCTTAGTGTTTACCCGAAGCCTCGGTCACAGGGATTAATGGCAGTTAATGCAGTGGTATAAATCAGGCACTTCCCACTCTCTGTCGCGGCCATGCATTCTCCTGCCAGACCCCCACTGCATCTGTCAACTCCTCCTCGGGGAAGAGATGATTTTCAGTTTTAAGCTGCTGGCCACCAGCTAACACCTACTGACTCCAATGTCCACAGGCTCCGATTTGACACAGCATTAAAACCGTTGCCCAGAAGGACCCAGCCAAGGTGGGTACAGGGCAGCACACAGCTCATGCCAGTCTCCTGCCAGAGTTTCATTCATCCCCAGGAAGCACCTCGTGTTCCCTGCGAAGCAGCAAGCTCAGCAAACCAAGACCACACTGAGCTGGCCTGGAAGCCCAGCTCCTGTGGAACTTTATTTTTATGTTCAGATGGGCTAAAAGGAGCGCATCCACCTTCCAATTTCCTGTCTGCAGGCACTTTGAAGTTGGCTCATATTATTTAAGTGTATTTTTTTTAATGTTAAATTAAAAAATTCCTTCATTTAATACAGAACTTATTATTACAGAGGCTGGAAGGCTTCTAATGTTTCACCTGAAATGCACACATTAGATTAAAACCTTGGATGCAATGTGTGAATTAATGTAGAGCACTGCAAAGAAATAATTGCTAAACTTAAGCCTATATGAGGACACCAGTGAAGGTGGATCATTTCAAAACAAGGCATGTAGGACTAGATAGGAACACAGATTGTACCTCAGCTGCTTGTCAGTATCAATGTACCTGAGACAGGTGATTATTTCAGGGAATATATGTAACAGCACATAAATCCTTCATCTATAATGCCTCCGGTGCAGCCTAAGTTCATGAGCAATAGTCATCCAGCTCAGCATTGCTCCGTGGGGCCCATGGGCAACCCGCAATCCATACGGCACCAGAAGGTGGTCCATGAACTGATTGCAGAAGTATAATTAAGAAACCAACCAAAACACACACACGCCATCCCACGCGGTTGGCAGGAGCTTATGTCAGCGCCTGCCTACAGGCACCGATCGCTCCCTGGCTGCTGGTGCTCACATCAAAGAGGACTCGGAGGTCCTTTGATTTTTAATGCTTGTTTAGCTTCTATGAAACAGGACAGAGCTGTGACTTTGGTTTCTCACCGGCAACCCACCCATGGTCCCCTATCTGGGAGCAGGACAAGAAATGCCTGACCCCAAAGGGTCTCTAGTGCAATAGAGGATAAACCACAGCTGCAGCCAGAGGCATGCAGCTCATCAGTAGTTAAATAAAAGGTGAAAGGGCCCCACTATTTACCTTTGTTTTCACCAAATGAAAAGAAAAACTGGCAAATCATAGCATATAAAAAATATTTTCAGGTACTACAGACCCCATCACTTTCCAGTGAGCAGTTAGCATGGCCTGCTAGGAGGTACTGGGTATACATGTTTAGCTGATTGATGGATTTTATTAGCAAGGCAAATTTTTCTGTTTCAAGACCTGTTTAGGGGTATGAAACTGTTGTTTCTCCCCAGCAGAGAAACCAGTATCTTATAATTACTCAGAATAAAAATGTTGTTCAGGGATATTATTTAATTACCCTGTATTTAAATAAAAGATGTGGATTTTCCCCCACCATTTGTGCGCAGAACCAGCACCAGCAAGCTCCCTGTTCCTGCTTGTTTAGAGCCAACATCAAAAAATTGCCTGACAGTTTTCCTAAGAGCCAAGAAAGTCAGCTAGTAATCATGTGGGGCTGTGTGGCCAAAGGTACATAAACTGACTTCACATGGGACCAGCAGTAGATCAGATTGCATTGGGCGGAATGAAATAAAAAAATCCCAGAAGTCTAGTTTCTTTGGAAATGTACCAAAACTGTCTCGCTACACCAACCTGGCACATCATATGTAAAAAAGTGACTATTTCCTAGTAGAGTATATGGGGTGTTTTATAGAAGTCAAAAAATCAGAATGGCCTTAGTTTAACATCATAAACACAATATACTGTAATGTCATTGAGAGACTACTTGTTAACCTACTTGTCCCAGGATTAAATGCTGAAATCGAGCGCACAGACCTACCTTCAGTTTCCCTCTGAGCACAGACATGCCAGTAAAATCTCTTTGCCATACAACTTGGAAATAATTACAATAACTATGTAATAGTAGAAACCACTTCTGTTTAATTCACTGATATTATTTACATCAGCCCAGAATTTACTGCTCTGGAAAGCGATGCTATGAGAATGACACCTTCCTGTGCAGCAGTTCTCCCTGTCTGCAGTTACAGTTGTTCTGCTTGCTTTGAAAGCAAGGCTGTGTTCAGAGCTACAGGGCATTGTTCCCTGAAAGGGACCTGGAGCATCACAGTGGGAACAGGAGCCCACCACCACCAGGGTAGGGCAAACAGCCTGCAATGAGGCACGTCTTCAGCTTGGGTTGACATATCTGATGCCATCCAAGATTTATTTCCCATCCCCTATTCAAGATGAGGCCTGCAATGGCGATTTTGCAGATAAAAGAACTGCAGAGGATTAACAGGTATCTCTATGAAGCTGATATGGTTTAGGGTTTAATGAGAAAGAGCAGAAGCAATATGCTGTGCAAGAGGTGCAGTTATAGTTGCTCTCTTGGCAAGAGGGCAGGAGGGAGAGAGCTGTCATGATCCCAGAGTCACAGACTTCAGTTGTTCAAGTTACTGCATCCTTAATCTATGCATATATTTAGGAAGATTAGATTATGTTTTTTTCTAACAGGCTGCACCACGTATTGGAGTTAGTGCATCATCCTTGCTGAGTGGGATATGTTATCTCCAATGTAACTTACAGATCAGCAGCAGCCTGGAAGCAGGGACTTTCAAGAATAAGGAAAAATATACTTAAAAGATCTTGCGGACGAAAGGATAATATGATTTTATGCAAATCAAGGTTTTTTAAATGTAAACCATTATTTGTTAAGAATATTTTCTCATGGATTAGCTTGTGAACTCTGAAAGAAAAACATTCTCCTCTTATGTAAGATGCCCAGCCTTTCACAGCTATAAAATTTGAAATGAAACAACAGCAGTTATATCGACAATGTTAACTCCAGATACCAATCACCAGGTGTCTATAAGCATGTAGGTAGCAAAAAAAGTGAGGAAGCACTAGGAAACCAGTACAACTGACTTCCTAAGCAGCACTGGACCTAAGCTGAGAAGCTTCTTCATGCAGCTCCTGCATGCCTAGCTGCATTCAAGTGAGAGTAAGTCAGTCCTGCTTGTGGAAGAACTGCTCCCACAGTTAATGGTTAATGGTTAATAATGGAGCTGCCCTTCCCTGCAAAATTGATCCATGCAGTTGAGATTCTAAATTCTACTTACGACACTTGGACCTAAAGACCAAAGGTATTTCCCAAAATGGGAGTCAGACACAAAGACTTAGATGCTCTTTTTTTGCCTTGTATGGTTATTAACACGTAGCAATTAACTTGGCTGCTTTCTTATTGCTGCTATCCCCAGCAAGCAACGCTGGGTCTCAGAGTTTGCTCTCCTTGCTGCATTCCTCAGATGTACCAGATGTCAGTCCCTTCCTTTCAGAAGGGCTGAAAGAGCATTCAAAGAGAGAGAAAGTTCACAGCCCTTTCTAACCTCTCCATGTCTGTCTTGGGTTTTTTCCCTTTCTCTTGTCCTGAAAGGACAGAGCACTGAGGAGCTTAACCCAGTACAAGGTTATTCAAGTTATCTGTTTGTCATTAGGTATCACTGTGCAGCACTGAATTATTTATTCCAGCTTCTTAGGCAGGTGTGTGGCAAATTTCCATACAGCCTTAATGGGAATCAGATTGCCAGCTTCAAACCCAAATTCTTCATCTGCACCACAGCATGACTGTGGAGTGTTGCTGAGCAAGGGTGGGGTGAACAGCTATGTAGGAACAGACCGCACAGTCACAGCTGGAAGAAGTATGTGGGTCTCACTTAATAAAACTTGATAGGAAATATTTGTAGCTATACAAAAATATCGACAAAGCCGGCAACACGATACACTGCATGTAACCAACACAACTGTCCCACTCAGACAAGCACGTACTGTATTTCAAAGCATGATTACCAGTAGGAAATCAGTGCATGCAGGAGCTCACATGCAAAGAACCTGCTGATAGAGCTGAAGGTGGCCCAGCTGAGCAAAGGACACTCTGGTGTTCTAGTCCCACTACCAGGTAGAAGTTTGGAGTCGTACATGACCAGGATGAAGAGATGGATCTCGTCTACTGGTGCAGGTCCTGCACTGGAGTCGGAGCAATCCCAAGCACTGGGCTGCAGCAAAAGGAGCATGACCAGCAGGTCGAAGGAGGTGATCCTGACCCTCTGCTCTTGTGAGATCTCACTTGAAGTATTGTGTTCAGCTCTGGGGTCCTCTATGTAAGAAGGATGTGGAACTGTTGGAACAAGTCCAGAGGAGGGCATGAGGATGACCAGGGGACTGGAGCACTTCTATGAAAACAGCATGAGAGAGGTGGGGTTGTGCAGCCTGGAGAAGGCTCCAAGGAGACCTTAGAGCACTCTTCAGTACCAAGAGGGGGGCTACAAGAAATGTGGAGAGGGACGTTATACAAGCACATGTAGGGATAGGTCAAGGACAAATGGCTTTAAACTGAAAGAGGATGGCTAAGGGAAATCTAGATTAGATATGAGGAAGAAGTTCTTTACTGTGAGGGTGGTGAGGCACCGGCACAGGTTGCCCAGAGAAGCCACGGCTGCCCCATCCCTGGCAGTGTTCAAGACCAGGTTGGACAGGGCTTGGAGCTGCCTGGTCAGGTGGAAGGTGTCCCTGCCCATGGCAGGGCATTGGAACTGGATGAGCTTTAAGCTCCCTTCCAATCCAAACCTATGGATTCTAAGATTCTGTGAGCTACATACAAAGGGCATACAGAAGATATGGATGAGCCACGACAAACAAGGTGGGACCCTTAATCCTAAAGTGCTCTCACCAGAGGTACCGGGGGCTATGTTCATCTGGCTGACAGTCTGTGTGCACCTGAGCAGGTAACCCTGTGCCTTCTCTGCAGATAGCAGAGCTCAGGACACAAACGTCTCATCTGAAAGAGGTGCTGACATCTGGTGCCCTGATTATCAAAAACTGCACTGAGAGGAGCCCAGAAGATCAGGTCCAACACAGGCAGCAGAAGCCAGCTGAGATGAATCGAGTTGTGGGTGAGCGATACTCAAAAGCCCTTTGCAGGCGGTAGCCTCTAGATGAAAGCCAGCTTGTGTGGCCTCATCAAAGGGCTTGCTCAGGCCAGCAACCTGGGTGGCATGGCAGCCTGGATCCTGGTGGTACCAGTACTGCTGGATCTGGGCTAGCAGTAGCTGGTGGGGTGCTCCCTGGGTGGTGGCTTCCAATAGTGCTTTCCTGCCAAGTCAATTGCCAAACATTTATCCTACCCAGCCCATGATTAGGAAAGTTTCAAGAGGAACTATGGGATGGACTTTCTGTGAGCACAGCACACACCTAAGTGCCCAGGAACAAGTAACATTTTTCACAGCGAAACAGCAGAATCGCTTTGTGTATTCCTGCCAATGTCACACATGGCTCAGAGACAGATGTTAAAATAAAATGGCCTGATTTTTACTGCCACTACTGCTTTGTGCTGATTTGGTCAAAAAAAACCCAACCTGAAAAACAACAAAAACCGGCACGGCTCTGGAATGACAAACCAGGTCAGTGCCGAAGAACAAAAAGTCAGCACAGACTGAATTTGTTTCTTTTAATAGATAAATGTCTGTGATTATCACAAAAGGGGTAGAGCCAGCAGTTTCACTGAAGGGTCCTCAACTGAAGGGTCCTCGCTCTCCATCAGCTTCCACACAATTGAATGCAAGGCCAAGCTCATCTGCCTGCAGGGCACCAAGGGTGGCTGAGAAATGATGGCCTTGGTTATGGAGGGGAAGAGCTGGATACCGGCTGTGTTTGCAGGGCTGTAGCTTGAGTGCGTGACTACAGCAGCTGTAGCTGCTCAGTATGGTGGAGCAGACAAAAACGTTCAGTACACCTGAAATCTCAGAGCTGCCTCAGATTACTGAGTCTTTGAATTAATTCAAATCATTCTCTAATAATCATAATCTAAACACCTTTAAGGTGGCTTCTGTGGGTCCAGGGCACCATGCAACCTCAGGTGAAGCAAGTACTTGGGGGCAAACTTTACCTGAATTATTCACTTAAATGAGTAAGAAAATAAAATGGAAATGGAAAGAACAAGTTAAAGAAGTTCTATTTTGGTTATTAGTTTGATGCACAACATGGAGATCCATTATTTGCTGCTGTCTCATCTGGATCCATCCCCAAATAAGGTGTTTCAAACCATGATAACTACCCTTGTGAATTAACATAGAGGGCTGCATAGTGAAAACAGAATGCAAAAGTGAAATGGAAGCTCTGCAATGCTGTTAAAGTTTATTCCTAAAGAGAGACACACGTGAATAGAAACTGCGATCACTGGACAACACAGGACAGTGCTGGGGGATGCAATGAGGACGGGAGCCTTGGTGAAGGGACTGGGCAGTGGTTTTTGCAGGCCTAACTGGTGAGGACACACTCCAGTTCTCCAGAAGAAAGAGCCAACTGTGAACTAATACCTGAGAATAACTAATATTTAGGAAAGTTTCCTTTTCTGCCAATTTCACTTCTATTTAGCTTTGCCTCTACTCAAATCTCTACTTTCTCTTCCCAGCTCACTGTCATTGTCCCACGGCTTGCAGCACACTGCTCATCACTGGCTCCAGTCTGCTCCCATTCATGATTTTCCTATGGAGTTTCAGCTTTCTCCAAGCAGCACTCTTCCCACTCAGTAATCTGAAAACCCACATTTGCATCCAACTTTAATGTCTTCCTCACACATGGGTATTTCTTCAAGCCAGCTAGTTTGCTAGGGCAGGGAAATAGCTCTGTGTCTTCCTAATTGCTCCCCTTTCCTCTCCCCCACTAAGACTTTTCTATATGATCCACCCTTTGAATATCCTGATAATGATCACCTTCCTACCTGTGTTTGTGAAACATTACCCGTTTCCAAGCTGGCCCCAGCATACTGGACTGGCCAAAACACAGGCACTCACTTCCCACAGCCCTCCCAGTAACCTCTGTGTCCTCCTGCCAAAAGCACAACACTCATGAAAACCCAAATTAAGAAACAAAGGCCTAAAGCAGGTTTTTCAACCCTTCCATGACAGAAAAGACCAATACTCTCAAATACCCATTAAACTTCTTATACTCCCTTTAGAGAGTTCAGACTTCATGTCTTTGGCAAACCAGTCTTTTTAAGATAACCTGTGATGGGCATTCCCCTTATGAACAGCTGAAGAAAGTCTTGGCTGGGAGATGGCAAAGCTCTTCATGACCACTATGAACAAAATCACTTGTGCTGAAACAGAACAAGTTTAAAACATAGGCCATTAGAATACACCTTTTCTTTTTTTGTCACCTGCTCTTTGTGACAGATTGGAAAAGGCCCTGTTATTTCTGTATGTATTGCCCTTCAGAGCCTAACAGGGCTCATGGCTGAAAAGACCACAAGACAGCAGAAGACAAAGGCATCTTCCTAAGATGGGCACAAGGGAAGAGGTATCTACTTGTCAGAAGTGTCTTCTCCTGTGGGACCAGAGCAGCCATGTCCTCTGCCAACTGGTCATCATGGGCTGCTTGCCATCAGCATGCTCCATCTCTTCACATACCACCCCTTTTTACAGATGGCCTCACCTGAGCCCACTTCTGACACTTGGGGAAACCCATCTTCTTATCCCATGTGCTGCTGGCACTTGCTTTTCAGGAAAGCAAGCTCTCTCTGGTTCTGAAAGCCCAAATCCTCCCCTGGCTTTCCCACCTTCTCGTTCTCCCCTGCTCTGAGAGCCTTTACCAGGCCCATGGGCCACAGGAGCTCATTCCTTGATGGACATATGTACCTTCTCCAGCATGAGCCTAGCTGCTGCTGCATATTGCTTCCACTGCACCCTGTGCTCACTGCCCATAGGGAAATGTAGAGTACAGTACAGCTGGATTTCCAAAACCAAGACTGCGCTGGGAAACGGCATCACTTAGGCAGCACCTTCCCACACTCCTAATGAAAAACAATACAGAATTGGTGAGGCCTAAAAGACAGAGAAATAATGTAGATTCTCTGTGTAAGGGTCCCAATAGCTCTCAGGAGATGTTTCCTGGCTTTTTATTGCCATGTTGAGCAATAGAGATGGAGAAAAGTATGAGTGGTCATCTCAGGGCACAGCAAGAAGAAGCAGTTATGATCCTGAGACGAGAAGACTTCATTCAAAGGGACAAATAAAGTCATGAATTAAAGTATTCTGGTGGCGAAAAGGCTATTACACATGAAATAAACAACTTTAATGAGGTTGTAACCCTGGATTTATAGTCTCATCTCTGTGCACAGGACTTCAGGTGCGTAACTCCATTAGCACTAATGGGACGTGCACAATTAAAACCACACACACCAAGATGCTGCTGCTGCTATTAAAATCAGCCACAAGCAAGGTTCAGAGCAATCCAGAAGAGGTGCTCATTTGTAGCTGATCTGATCACTTTGCAAGGTGGTAAAATAAGAGCACTCACTGTGAGATCTCTGTGGTGGGTACGAGCTGGTGGATAGTCTGTGTTTTGGGGGTCAGATGTTAGGCCTGTCCCTGCACATCTCATGGGACATCAGCTCCGCTCTGCTGGGAACAGGCTCCAGGAATGCTCAGTAAAACCCTTGGCTTCAGTCACCATCACCTCTTGCTTTCAAACTGGGAAGGAGGGAGCACAGACTTCCCATCGTGGTGACACAGAATCCTCTCATCTCCCTGTCTGGTCCCTGGCACACTGTGAGGGATGAAGTACAGGCTGAGCAGAGTGGCTCAGCTCACAGGTACAGCGTATTTGCCCTGCAGGGCTCTCAGACTATGTACTGTGCATGTCAGTGCAGTGAGAAAACACTCCAGCTAGCTGGGCTATCACAGCAGGCTAGGAGGACAGTTCTCTCAGGCAAAGAGAACTGCTTCCTCCAAAAGCCAGCCCTGCTCTGTCCTGTGCCCTCACACAGCATATTGAGCTCTGAAAAAAAAACCTCTCTGGGAACTGAAACCCAACATGAAACAGCATTGAAGGTACTGCAGACTTGCATGGGGGCAAAAAATTGCCTCACGCATACAAAACAGAGGACAAAACAGATCAGTATTTTAGATCTCTCTATGTCTCACCTGTACTTAGGAGCAGAGCACATATTGCTATGCCTAAGTGACGATGTGCCAGCTGAGACCTTGGGATGCTGCTTGTTTACCTGCTATTTAATAGTGGCAGTGATCACCAGTTGAAAAGGGCAGCAGCTTGAATTACCAGGTTTTTTAGCAAGTAATGCAAGCAATATTCCTGGAATGGCTTTCTTGACAGAGAGTGGTAAAAGCCATTTAAATCTGAATAACACCACAGCGTATCTGAGGGTGATGGAATAAGGTGCAGAGGCTGCAAGCAGAACTACAATGATAAAACATTAAATACCAATATGACTTTGGATATAATATTATGCTCTCCCGAGAGCTGTAATTCTCCAGATATATGAAGCATTCAGAAAAATGGAATTGAACCCTTCATCACACTTTTTTTTCCCCCTACAATATTAAAAATGTAGTTTTACCAGAAACAATGGGGACTCCTATGTTCTCACAGGTTTTTACAAGCTAATGTTAAAACTGACTCAAATGCCACACAATGTTCACACTTAAGTCTGGTCTGAAAGCTGATAATTTCAGTTTTGCATTGTAATGTCTGTATCCTTGTATTCTTAATGCTCACAGATTTCAACAGTGTAAGATTCAGACATTATTCCTGTAAAGTCCATGTTCCCACACAATCCAACAGTTTTACCATCAGCTTTAGTGGCAGCAGCCTTAAGCCCAGAAGTCTTAAATCTGATAGACATTAAAGATGGAGAAAATTTACTCACTAATCTAATTTAGCTAACACAAGAACATTCTCTACAAGGCCAAGGTTATTAATGGCAGCACAAGTGGCCACATTTATGTGGAGGCTACTTAACATTTTCCATTGTAATACTCCGCTTCAGGATAACTTTGAACAATTCAGGCTCAACATTCCTGATGTTAGCTGTCTGACTAATAGGATCTTTTTTGGGAAGCTTTTGCTCAAGGGATTCAGCTATTTCCAAGACTGAGGTTACAGAAAAGAAGAGGAAAAAAAAAAGGGAGGAAAACTACAGTTTTATGTGAAAGGCCGCAGTGCTTCCATAGAGCCCTACCAGAGTTCTGATCATCACCCTGCTGACAGCTCAAAGAATGACCATGGACGAAGGCTGAAAACGAGCACAGAGGAGGGCTGAAGATTAATGTGATGAACTAGTTACAGAATTAAGAGACATAAGAAATGAAAAGCAGGTGCTAAGAAGAGGCTAGGCAGAACAGCCTTATTTGGCTGATAGGGTTACATCTACACATTTTGGCCTGAACACTGCTTTGCTGTCTGGCAAGTGGCAAAGAAGCCCATTAACAGCTCTCTGCTGTCAGGTACATACAGCAGGTAGTTGCATTGTGCTGCTGCTTTCCATTCTCTTGGCTCTGACAGGATATCTGTCCTTCCAATGCAACCTCAGAGTACCACTGGCATGACAGTCTACACAGATTCATAAAGTAAAATCTTTACTAACTTTGGAAATCTGAGATATCCAGAGACAGGAAGAAATTGAATTGTCAGTGCAACCTTCATCCAGTTTCTTAGCACACAACCTTTTAATGGCCTTATCATGTACTATTTTCTCCATAAGATGTAATAATCAGGCAATTATACTCCACAATTATATCAAGGACCTGCTGAGCATGGGCTGGATTGAGCACATGAAGCACTTTAAATGCCCATGACTGACAGCATGTCTTAAGGAGCTCGCACTCTGAAAATACAAGAGAAAGAATCATTGCTTATTGCATCAGAGGAGGAAGCACTGGGATTCCAGGACCTGCTCCAGGTATTTATCTGGACCTACTGTATCCAAGTTTAGACACAGGATTCCTACTGGGCTCACATCTACATTGGCAGGCAGTTGTGAACAGTGAAGCAGCTCATGTCTCATATCAAGAAGAGCTCCTCCTGATATGTAATATAAGGACATTACTCACCTGTGTCTACTAACAGCACTACTCACTCTAGTAACAGGAGTGGTAAATTCCCAGATATTGCCTGGGTGGCAGGCAGAGGAGGTGGCAAGGAGAGCTCGTGGCTAATGGGCCACAAGAC